TCAAACCCACAGACTGTGAGATTATGACCTGAGCTGAAGTCGGACGCTTAACTGACGGAGCCACCCAGGTGTCCCGATAATGTTTTAAAAATGTTATATTCAACATGAATTTCTATTTGTGATCATGCTTTTGAACTGAAGTTAAGTAGACAACTCTGGACCTACTTCCACAGAAAGGTATCTCCATCTATTTTGAGTTCTGTTTAACTGTTTAGCATTATCATGACTGGCTAACTGCACGTGCTGTCTCCACTTCCCTTATGGTAGAAATGCCTGAAGAAAGTGCAAGAGTTCTGCATTGTCCAGAGATGGTATTCTTCCAATAAACCACCTAGGTTCAGAGAATTTTTTATTAGTGAAAACTGTCTCCAATTTGAGTTCTCTGTGGTTTAAGTAACAGAAACAGTTCCAGTGACTTAAGAACCGTCCAGGCAGGAAGCAAACCCCTTGTGTGATGACCACACAGTCCTTGAGGAGCTACCTCAGGAATGGCATCTTTAGGACTGGGACACAAAGTAAACAAAAAGGATCTTAACGTGTAACGACATATCTGATGGAGATGGCTACATTTTAGGAGATTAAAAAGTTCTTCTGAAAGTGAGGTTTTAGTTGTACGGAAGTTTGTCACTCACCATGAAATGAGGTTGTGTTAAAATACGCTTTAGCTCCTTTGCGTCATTATTCTCAGGGTAACATGAAATTTCTTCCAATACCTAAAAAATAAGCAAGATGGCAATAGTATAAATAGGATGCCAGCATTAGAAAATCGAGGATTCTTTTCAATGAAAAATTATGAATAGATTTTTATGGCAGGCAAAACAGTTAGTTTGGAAAAAACTCATCGCTGTATTAATAAAGATTATTAATATAAAAGGACTCTGTTGATGGTAATAAAAAATAAAACAAATCGCTATAATTTCTCTGACTACATTACCTAACTGTAACTGAAAAGGTTATTGAAAAATACAAAACAAAATGACAGGTCCACTATACAGATTTACTACAGGTGTAAGTAACTTAATTAACTTAATGGGAAAATATGTCTACAAATCTTTTTCCAAACTCACTACCAAAATGAATCTGTAATAAAAGTTAATAGCGCTTTTAAAAAATATTAACAAAACAGTTTTTCCTTTTAGAAAGATTAAAATGACACAGGCTCAAATAAAAACCTTTTAAAAAAGAGAAACACTCAAGTTATCTTCCTTGCAGCCTGGCAGAATCAATGATATTCTCCACACTTATCAGAGAAAACCATGCCTCTGCCAATAGTTCCCAGGATTCACTGCCAGGGAATCCAAGAGTGCAGTTAAAAACAACAACAAGAACACAAAACTTGTCTTTCCATTCAAAAAGTTATCTTACCACCAGGATGCAGTCTATCCATGTACAGTTTGACTATGTGATGTGAGACCAGGGGCCTCTTTTTTTCC